TGCATGTGTCTATTTTACCCATCGACTGAGTTCTGGGGGAATGGGGAGCCATGGCAGACTGGCTATTTCTGCCTGGAGCTCACTCCCGCCTTACTCCTGCCTCTTTGGAAAAATGTTCTTCCAGGTTATGTAATAAGAATCAGATGGCGATTTGGTCCTACCTGCTTCGCTGGCCCCAGCGAACATCTGCTGGCAAGCCAGTAGGGGTCAGTGTTCCCAGGAGAGGATCTCAATGAGGGGCTCCCTGGGGGGCCTTTTGAGGGTGCCTCTAAACATCTGGACTACCAGTAGACATGACTTGGCTGTTTTGCTTCACACCTCGCTTGCGTGACATCACCCAGCGTTTCTGTCGGAGAAGGAGGGCTGAAGGAATCTGCGCAGGTACCCTGGTCACACCAGACTTCCTCTGTACAACTGCCTCCCTAACTGAGGTCAGGAGACAGAAGTATTGCGTCACAGTTTGGATTCCAGTTCATTTTTATGCAGCGTTGCGCTTGTTCATCAAATGCATCCAGCGACTGAAACGCTGGTCTAGTCCCCAGACGGGATGACGCCAGAATTGACACCGGAGCCTGAGCTGGTAGCTGCTGTCGTGCCAAGGGGTAGGAACGTCGCTACCTGGGCTCACAAGCGGTGACAGACGGCGCGGAAAATGACTCATCAAGCCGGGGAACATAGGTGGCTCTGAAACTCAAGATCTACTTCCAAAGTGGATTAACTTAGAGCTGGTGAGCCCGTCCAGGGTGGGGGGCTGGAATGGGAAGAGCCCCACCCAGAGTGAGACTCCCTGTCTACTAAGCATGCTTTCTAAATCCCATGAGAGTGTGTGTGTGTGTGTGTGTGTGTGTGTGTGTGCGTGTATGTCTGCTCTATAGCGGACGGCATAACTAAGCAGAATAAGTATAAACAGTTTGTCTCTCGCGGCAAAACGTCCTTCCAAACATCTTTGGATGGTTTGGATGAGATCCATTCCTCGGCCAGTGGCCGGCGACAATTTCGTATAGTTTTAAAAAGGCGCCCCCAAAGTCTGTTAGAGGTGCTCTGTGTACTGTTTGTGTCATCGGCTCACATGCTGGGCTTCTGATGGGGAGCTGAATCAGGAAGGGACATCTCAGTGTCCCTCCAAGTCGTTGTACAGGAAGTTGCCTTGTCGTTCACGTCACCCTAACACACAGGTCGAGAAGGATCTGACTACTGGGCGACCTCCTCTAGGAGGAGTCCACTGTAGGGCTGGAAATCACATAACCTCCTGGCCTGGACATGACGCTACTGAAGAGAACTCAGTAGGCCAGATTAAAGATCATATTTAGTGTCATGTGATTCCGAGCCTCAGGAGATAGTGGATGGATATACTATATATATGGATATCCTAGTGGAGGATAGGATATAATCCTGGTGGAGATAATGTCCTGTCCAATATTATAATAATATATTACTACTAGTAGTAGCAATAATAATACTAATAATAATTCTAATAATTTTTCCTCTGTTCCTGAACTTTGCATAGCGTCATGTCCTGGTTATTTGATTTCTGGCCCCGCAGTGGAGATTCTCCTAGCAGATATCGCCCAGTGTTCTGTAGCCTGATCTTCATCGTACAGTGAGGCTCGCCGCCGTGATGTAACACGCCCCCTCTCTCCGCATCACATCCTGTCCTCCGACTCACCTGGAAGGTTCTTACTCATCCGAAACTGCCATGCCGGACGAGCGGCTGTGTCGGCTGTTTCACTAGAACAGCGTTTTTTTTCGCAAATCAAGCACAACTGTCAGCCGTAAGAGCATCAGAGGATACTAGGGTGGCCGTCTGTGGAAGGAAAGGCGTGGAGATCTGCATTTCACGGTTCACGTGCAGCGTTTACGCCATGATGCTGTCCAGTGTCGGGTTTCATTATGTCCCCCTAGGTGACAACTTGTGACCATCTGTAAGTGGCAATAAATAAGGTGCAATATCATTTCATCAAGATGCATCAAAGGTAGCTACTTGTGTCCTTTAGTATCTCGACTCATTAATGTAAAATACAAACCAATCGCTCTGTAGTCATTGTAGGTTTAACATGTGTGAGTTGGATCGGTTCATACGTCAGATTTGAAACGGACCCCTGATATATTTTTTATGGCTATTATCTGTTTCTTATTAATTAATTTGTGCTCTATTAGTTGTTCTTTGTACTGGATGTGGCTTAATGAGTAAACGTTGCAACACACATGGCCAATAAAACGTCTTTTTAAGAACATTTTTGCAGATATCTTTTTAATACTCTGCAACACAACATCATCAAGTAGAGATTTGTTATTATACAACTATTTTAATTATGATTTTTTTCAGCAAAAGCGGGATCATTTTCCTAAGGAAGAATAGAGTAAACAATTATTTAAAAAATTCCAAGCAATGAGAGGAAGTTGAGGATTATGGGATATTGATTATGGTTTTGGTTATTCTTGTGTGGCACCTGGACATTCCTGTAGCGAGGCGAGGGCAGAAAAACCAGAATGGGACAGGCACCATGTTTCGACATTCTGGGTTTTGTGAAAGGTGAGTGGAGCTTGCCCTGTATCCTGCCTGTTTATGGCCTCCCGACACTATAAATCATTCACAGGATGAATGAAAACAGCTCAACCAATGAGCACACTACGAGGCCCCTGACTCCGCCCCCTGCCAGTCTGGCATAGAAACAGACGCTTCCTCCCGGCGCCCTCTGAGTGCAGCCCTGTGTAGAAGCTCTGCACCAGAGTCGGCCTTCCGCTTCTGCATTTCATGGCCTTTTCTCCAAAAGCCATACCCCCACGACTGCAGGAACGAGTGAACGACTTCCCCTTTCGGCAGGAAGAGCGTGCGATGACTCACACCTTCCATTTGCTCTACGGACGAAGCATTGGCCCAAAACCTGAGATGGGGAGCGCGACTGAACGCGTGCCTCATTTTGGGGAAGATCGTAAGGAATCTATGGAAACTGCCTTTGTTCAGCGGCTGGCAAATGTGGGGCTTTCACCCCCGAAGTGCGTCATGGAGGGCTCTGTCTTTGTCTCGTCGCACAGAAGCGGTGGGCCTCAGCGATATCACGAGGCCGGTGATGCTAGAGACGTGGAAAAGGCTTCAGGGAAAAACACCAAGAGCCAATAGGGACAAGGCCAGAAAGCTCTTATAGGTTTGAAAATGCGTAAACGTTTCAGGAAAAGATGCGTTTAGAGTTCAGTGCTGCCTTTCCTTTAATTATGAACTACAGCATGCAACACATCCCAATGCCTTATTGGTCTGAGAACTTCATGCTATCTGCTCAGATATGGTCTTTGCAGCATTATGCTGTCTGTAGTGTTATGTCACCTGCGCAGTTATGTCATCTGTACAGTAGTTCTGTCGGCAGAGTTATTCTGTCTTTAGTAGTATGTCACCTGCGCAGTTATGCCATCCGCAGAGCTGTTCTGTCTGCAGAGTTGTGCCATCTGCACAGTGCTGTAGACTATAGAAGGAAACACTTGTGTGCACAGTAATGTCTCCTGATCTGGGTGGAGGGAGCACCGAGGGAGAAAGGTCTCCCTTTGCCATGCGGACGTGAGCAAAGATGGTGTTGGCTGCAACAGGGTGAGGAGCCGCTCTGAGAATAGGTGGCTGGGATCCAAAAGTCCCCCCTGCCACCCCCCACCTCGCAGCCAGGGGGAACTGAGAGGTGGAAAACGTAACGCCCGGCACAGGGGGACGGCCCGGATCGCCCCGCCATGCCTGGCACCCATGCACTTCCTGCTGCTGTGCACCCGTGCTGTTTCCAGGCCAAACACACACACACACACACGCGTGGACACTCACACCTAGACTGACACGCTAACACACGCTCAAACACGCCACTGCATAGGCTGCCTCACCTGCACTCGCACACTGACATGGCTGAGAGGGGAAGGGGTTTGCAAAACATACACAGCACAGCTCCTGTGAGGCCGCAAGTACTCCGAAACACCCCCCCCCCACACACACACACCACCACTTCTTGGCACCTGCCCGCGGTTTCCACTCTGGTCTATGTCAGACTGCCGACGTCGGCGCCCCAGAGCCGCCGAGGACGCGTCATGGCAGTGGGGTCACCGAGTCCAAGCCCGGCTGTGGGACAAGGCAGCTGGTGACCTCCGAACAGCCAGGGGGCGCCAGAGTGCCACGATTGGCCACCAGCCTGAGGTAACTACAGGTCAAAAGGCCCATGTTTTTTTCAAGCTCCGTTTCACCGTCAAAATACAAGGCTACAAATAAGCATGTGTTAAAAACAAACAGGCCAAAATGCATCGGAATGTTGCGCGGATAATGCAGCTGTACATCTGTATATGGCCAGCATTTTTCATAAAAATTTGAAAAGGCCTTTTCCCACAGTTTGGTCAGATAAGAACTGTTTGTAATTATCTGATCCCCCCCCCTGCCAAAGTGGATTGTACAGAGCTGAATATCCAACACAATACTGCCACCAAGAGGACAGATCGAAGACGACAGTCACTTCCTTCATATAGGGAGGGAGATGCAGAAAAGGAAAAAGAAATTAACCAGCACCTAGATGAGAAGGCAGTAGGCACAAATTCCCTTAATGTCTTTAATGCAGAATGGGAACTGCAACAGTAATGAGCTTATTCATGATCCTTGTGATAAGAGCGTGATGGTGAGTTACAGTGTGATACAAGGATGACAAAGTAGAACCACAAGATACAAGATCAAAATATGTCTAAAGAAAATGAGGAGACTGGATGACAGGAAAAACTGGAGGGTTTATAAGAAACTGCTACCCCCAATGGGAACTTTTACTAAATGGTTGGGGCTGCTTAAAAACGGCAGCATGGGGGCAACATGAGGGGTTCTGGCCCTGTTATGCTCTAGTGCTACGCCCCACCCCCGCCCCCCCTCACATGAGGAGGCTGAAGTGGAGGTATCCCAAGAAGTGATAAAGGTTTGAGAGGAGAGGGACAGAGGGGGAGCTGGGGAGAAGCTGGTCAGCACGGAAGCCCTGCCAGGTGTAGGTCTCCTTTGGTGTATCACGTGGACGGGGGGGCTGTGGGGGTGGGGCCAGGCACACTCTCATTTCCCTTGCAAATGCTGTCAGCAGTTCCCTGTTGCCCTCACCCTGGCCACAGTCCGGCTGCTCCTCGGAGACTAGGATGCTCAGATGGAGTCCCTCAGCAGAGCTGCTCTGCCATTCTCCCTCGGGGGGCTGCTACTCCTCACAGGTAAGCCGCCCAAACCCTCGTTTGCCGTAGCCACGGAGACCTCCTAAAGGTCTCACCGTGAGCCGTGCTGTGGATGGACGCGGGATCCACAGAAGCCAGAACGAGCCAGAACTCAAAACGAAGCAGGAAATATTGTTCATAAATTGCTAGCAACATCCATAATGCATTACTTTCAATGTGCTGGTATTTTACCCAAGTGTATGTTAGTATCTGTCAATAACAATAGCAAGCGTTTTAAATTTTTAAATATTAACAGCAGCACTTTGCTTTTGCTGAACTGTACTTTCCTGGAGTTTCCAGGGAGACCAGATCACTTTCAAATGGTATCTGAGTATCTGGTATCTGTCTCGCTGCATGTAATTCCCCCCCCTAACGATTCCACTCTTGTTACCATTTTTTGCTTTGTGACTCAAAGGATGTATTTCTGTTATCTGACTTTTAATGACTTTCGAAGATTTTCCGTCCTGAGCATGTGATGTGTATCTTACTCTGCACATTAAAAGCAATGCCTGTAGCCTTATGGGGACCCTTGGATGGCTTCCAGAAAATAACCGGTTGCTCTGTGTAACAAACACTATGAAAAAGAGTGAAAGGTATATTTTTGCAGGCTGCCTGTATTTTTGGTCCAAACAGAACGGGCATGAGGCCGATGCTGGTCGTGGGGGGGGGTCCAATTCGTAAAAGCATGTCAGTCTACCCCCATCCCCTCTATCAGTATACCCAAACACCCCCCAAGTTGTTTGGGAATAACAGTGAGGCCACACGCCAGCCTATTCATGACATTCTTGCACGCGTGTAAACAGTGGGCACGCTTCTCTGAGTGTGTCTACACTCCCATCTCCCCATCCTCATCTCCCCCACCCAAGATGTCGAGGCACGTGTCATGGGGGTGGCTGTATTTATTATTTATGATATAACAACAGGCGCACAGTAATCTATTGTGATGAATAATATTGCCAGTCAGCAGCTCTGGTGAAGCTGCCTGTCTCCAGGGCAACTCTGGTGGGTGTGGGTGTGTGTGCGTGTGTGTGGGGGGGGGGGGGGGCATGGGGGGTGGAGATCGTGACAGTCGGCGTCTGTGCTGCCAGGTGGACCGTGGATCATTCGGCAGCAGGTAGGCTGCCTTCACATAAACACCCCCCCCCCCCCCCCCCCCCCCCCCCCCCCCCC